AGAGTGAAGTTTTTATGGTGATTAATTGACTGAGTTAGGCCACTTAAGTTTAAATGAACCACGTGGGAAGGGTGAAGTTTTTATGGCGATTAATTGACTGAGTTAGGCCATCTTCAAACTGACATGAGGCACAGGGAAAGGAGAAGATCAGCTTAATTACTAGTTTCCTGCTCATGCAGCCTAATAAGAAGCCTTCCAATTCACATGCTAGGCCCACACACCCATGTGACATGTAAACCAGGCGCCTCATTCAGGAAGAAACCTTGTGAGGAACACCGGAACAGTGATATAAGGAGTGCACCCTGCTACCCAGTCCTTCGTGCTTAAGTATAAACCGAGAACGAACAACATGAGCTGTTTCTGAGTGTAGACAGTACCAACAGAAAGATCTGTTGGTCTCTCGACACATGGAAGCCCAGAGTCAGCCACTGCAAATCATCAGAATTATTTCTACCTGGGTGCAAAGTCGTGGCCAGAATGTCATGTAGTGTTTCCCCAAAGGAACTAAGATAATGTACTGGGTTCCCTGGTTATTATTCTCCAAAGAATACTGAGTCTAGCTTTGAATAGTAGTTTTTTTTAACACTTATTCCTTACATTTATTTATATCTTTTCTGGTACTAAAGAGTTTAACCTACATTTTAACTCATCAAGATTAGTAATACCAGCTGTGTAAATCCCATTCAATGGAAAGAAATTAAAATTTGGAATGTAATAATTATAAAGTCTACCATTTATTTGTTGAATACTCTCCGTGTTCCAGAAGAGTTCCATGTGAATAGTGGACACTGTTGGTGTTCAGCCTGAATCGCTTTTCCCACACCAGTGTAGACAATGCCCAGATGCTGGCTACTCTTGGTTTGCAGTTGTCTCCTTCTTCAGAAAATTGACCTTTGCCAATAAGAGTCACTGTTACCCAGGAGAAAGTCCACAGCCAATGACTGCTTGATTCTTAAGCATAAAAAGTCAGCAACTTGCCCCTTTGCTTCAAGGTGGGAGGGATTACCAAGGGGATGCAGTTCATGGTGCAGGATGAGGCTGAATCCAAACTAGAATACTTATATCCACACTTAGCCTTTCCTCCTGTCTCAACCTGCTATCCTCACTAAATTTTGGACAAAGAATTCCCAATTCAGGCTCTGTTCCAGAGGAATTTATCCTAAATATTATCTCATTTAATCCTGAAACAAATTCTGTATCTAAAGAGGGAGTGAGAGTCCTGTTCTGATTGTCAGTGCTCGAAATAGACTGGTACAGTCTATGAGAAGCATAGATAACAGTATAGCCTTAGAGCAGTAGATATTCAAACTATACCCAAAGTGCATGATGCCAGAAGGCACGCAGTAAAAGTGAAACTATCAGATTGTCAGGAAAGTCATGATATGTTTTTCTATGCAGAATGGATTGTAACTTTCCCAACAACCCAATAAAATGGAAGTATCTCGATTCCAGCACAACCTTCTGTTCCTCCTCACTGCATATAAGGCTTTCTCCCATGCTTTGGAAATAATTTTCCAGAGTCTTCAGTTCTGTAGACTGAAAATTTGAACCAAATCCTGTCTGGGTTACATACATCCTTTTAATCAGTGCCTATGTGAACAAAACCTAACAGAAACCTTAATCCCCTGTTTCCAGGTTAAAGAATGTAAAGGCTAACAGACCACAATTCAGTGTTAATAAATGTGACTTTTAAAATCTTTTCCTGTCATTCAACTTAATATCTATTACAAGATTTATTTCCTTCAGGCCACTAACATTTTTCCTGGACTTGGACATAAATGGTAAGGCAAATCCATATTGCAAAGAGGACAGAGGCATTCACATCACCTTCCGTGTTTCCGTCTCTCCTCACCAGCATTTGCTAAACCATTCTCAGGACCATATGGTATTTGATAACTGATCCTCACAGGTCTTTACTTGCCAGAGCAAAGCCCTTCAACGTCTAGAACTCTTCTATATATTTCCTCTGAGATCTTTCTCAAGAAATCTGGAGTCATCCTGTGCAGCCATGCCCCGCTAGGCGTTTAGGGCTGTGCGGTTAAGGCTAATGCTCCTCTCATCTCGTCATACTCAGGTACATAGGAATCAAAATATTCTCCCTCAAGTCTGAAACCAGGAACTTTGAATTCTAGTCAGCCTTGTCCCAAAATGGCAACATAGATCCTCTCTACTCTTTTTTTTTTTTTTTTTGAGAGAGATTTTCACTGTAGGGCGCGTGCGCTCGCCAGACAGACAGAGAGAGACATAGAGACAGAAAGCAAGAAATCACCCCCCAGGGGGGATGGTCACGCCGCAATCCCTTCTCCTCCATTCTCCTCTCGGGATCTTGGGCACGCATGCACACGCGCCTGGCGTGAGTTTTAAGCCACCGTGTCCGGGACACGAACCGCAGTCGACTACGTGGGAGTCCAATGACATAGCCATTACGCTAACTGCTGGTTCCCAGATCCTCTCTACTCTTTAATCTCTGCAGTTATTTAGGCTTTTTTATTTTAACCAGTTCTTGCCCTTTGACTCTAGACTTCCTAGCTACCCATCGAATTAATCCTTATGTAATCCAGAAATGAGGTTGCAGCTGTGTGGAGATAGCGGGAGAACCACATCAAAAATAATTTATGACTGGGAACCAGCATAAGTTAGCGTAATGGCTATGTCGCTGGACTCCCACGTAGTCAACCGCGGTTCGCGTCCCAGACCCAGTGGCTTAAAACCCAGTGAGAGCGCATGTGCGTGCATGCCAAAGTTCCCGAGAGGAAAATGGAGGAGAAGGGATTGTGGCGTGGCCACTCCCCAGGGGGGTGATTTCTCACTTTCTGTCACTCACTCTCTGTCTGTCTGGTGAACACACGCGCCCTATAGCGAAAATCTCTCCAAAAAAAAAAATAATAATAATTTATGACTTACAACTTTTTGAAGTACAATAGTTTGTGACTCCAACATTATTCATGATGACTAAGACATGGAACCAACCCAGATGTCCACAAACAGATGAATGGATTGAAAAATTGTGGCACATATACTACATGGAATACTATTAAGCCATAAAAAACAACAAGGTCCTGGAATTTGATTGAAAGTGG